TTGTAAACCCATTATATTCCAATAAAGATGTAAAAAAAATTGTTTCTAAAGGCTGATAAAAGACTACATTATTGATGAAAGGCATTCTGCAACTGAAATAAGTTTTAATAAAATATAAACTTTTCTAAATGAAATAAAATACAAACGGGTTTGGTCAAATATTAAGTGTACCTGATTAAGGGTATTAGTTCAAAATGTTGAATACATTTCTGAAATTTCTCTCTTATGTATTCTTTAATAAAGTCTTAAAGTATAACAACAACAACAAAAAGAAAAACACAAACAAAAAAAAACACATTTTATAGATCACTTTACAATTCCCCACCTAGGAAACTATAGAGGACTTCTTTGTTCACTTGGAGAAGGAGAATAATCATTGTTTCTTTTTGTTTCAATGGATAATATTCATTTTTTCCTTCATGGTAGAAATAAATTTTTTACTTATTCCAAAAGATTTCATATTAGATTTTATTTAATGATTCTTACTGATATAGTTGGTCTGTCATCCATGGTGAATGAAAAAATAGCATGATAATGGTGAATTCTTTTTGAAGATATTTTAGTATTGCCTATTTGTTTTCCTGATAAAAAGTAAGCAGTGAAGCCATCCAAAGAGAGGAAACAAAGTGTAAGAAACCAATAACAAGTTTAAGGTAACTGAAGCAGGAGAAATGAGAATCCATTTCAAACAAGTTAGGAGGATGGGGATTCTGTGACATAAGTACCAATATATCAACAATTATACCTGAAAACTAAAAATCCTTCTAATACACACACACAGAATTTTATAGTAATATATGCCAAAATAAAAGAATTGCTAATGAGCATCTCTTTTGGATTTGGTTCCTCCATGTCTTATTCCTGCTCTAAAGAAAATAAAGTAAAATAAATAAATCATCTGTTTCACATTGTCCGCCCTCCACCTCCTTCTGGGCCCCAGATACTGAGTTTCCATTTCTCCCAATTACTATACTCAGGATTGTGTGGGACGTTCAAAATATGCAAATCTGAGTTTTCACGAATAGAGGAAAGGTGTGGATTTTACAAGCATGCTGGGGGATGGATGCGTGTTCAGTGTGAGAGAAGTGGATGAACGCACCATTGACAAAAGGCAATAGGAAGGAAATTAAATATAAGGCAGGTTGATAGAGAGGACAAATTACTACAAAAATAGATCTTCAAGAAAAATAGTACATTACAAACCCAGGTTATGATAAGTAAACAAAGATAACTCAAAGTTAGGTTGAGGAAGAGACAACTATATTCATGTCCAGAGAGGAATGTGCTGGAATTGTGGCATCTGTGCCCATGGTAGAGTGGAAGACTGAAGATGAGGTAGAGAAACATGCCATCCCATTTCTGCCCCTTCAACTTCATCTTTGCTAGTTTTATTTCCCTCAGCTACTGACTAAAAGACTAATAATAATCCCAGGAAACTCCAAGACTAACATTTTGGAATTCAGTTGTCCTTTTACTGACAAATTTGCTGATAAATTTATTGTAAGCCTGGAGTAAAAATTTTGATCAAGGACATTTTATTTACTGGAGTTTATTTCAGTTACTATACCTAAGACCTTGTATGAGATATCCATCCTATACAAGGAGAAACAGAAGCCCAATATGCCCTATAAAACATACAAAATTATTAGTACTAGTAGATTTTCAAATCTTTCTGGGACAATCTGTTAACTTCTTAAGCAAAATGTTGCTTTGGGCCTATTTTTGAATCATTAAATAAAACTTCCTTTTATTAGTAGTTCTCATTTTCGTGGCAGTTTTATCTGAAAGAAAATGAAACAATTCCAATGAATATTTGAGCATCCAAACTGAGGATCTTAGAAAAACTTTCTCATGTTCTACAATTTTCCATTTAAAAAAGGTAGGTAGGAATCATTGTTTTCTCCATCTCCTATCTCTCCTCCTTCATAAGAATTTTTGGTTTTGTTTTATTTTCTCTTTCTCTTTGAAAGTTCTTCATGAATGCAGTGACCTCTTAAACAGGGTTCCCACTCTCCAAGTGGTATCCAAGCCATTCAGTAGAATGCAGAAGAAAATATAAACATATCTTGTAATCTAGAAAATAAATTAAACCTTACTAATAATTATTATTGATCTCTCCCAAACACACTTTATCCTCCTAGCATTGGTCACATGTAACCTAAGGTAAAAGATATGCATCTTGGAAGGAAAAAGGGAATTCCACAGTTTAGGGAGGATTGACAGAGGCATCCTGAACTCCTTCCTTTGACAACACTATAGTTCAGTGTGCCAGCTTTTTGAAGAATAGCAATCATCTTAATAGTAGAATCTTTACTATACTATGTGTATTAGTATTAACGCCACAACAAATCACCACAAGCTTAGCTGCTCAAACAACATAAATTTATTATCTTGCAGTTCTTTAGGTCAGAAGTCCTACATGAGTCTCACGGGGCTAAAGTCAAGATATCAGCAGGCTGAGTTCCTTTCTGGAGGTGCTAGAGGACAATATGTTTCCTTGCTCATTTGGATTTGCTGGCAAATTTCAATTCCTCATTGTTGTATGACTGTGGTCTCCATTTTCTTGCTAATTGGCAGCTGAGGGCCATTCCCAGCTTCTAGAAGCCACCCCATTCCTTGTCTCCTGACACTTTTCCTCTATCTTCAAAACCAGCAACAATAAGGCAAGTCCCTCTCATGTTTTGAATCTCTTATCCCTTCTCTCTCATTGCATCTCTCTGACCCATTCTTCTTTCTTTCCACTTTTAAAAACTCATATGATTAGATAGGTCCCACCTGGATATTCCAGGATAATTGCCCCATTTTAAGGCCTTTAATCTTAAAGTTATATGTCAAAAGTTTTGTCATATAAGATAACATATCAAGAATTCTGGAGATTATGGTCTGGGCATCTTTGAGGGACCATTATTCTGCCTACCACACCTTGAAATTATTTTGTGTCACAAAGAGGTTCACCTGCATCCTTGCACCATAATAAATAAACAAATAAACATTGAAAATAAAAATTTACTTAGCTGTTTACCTACAAAATAAAAGGCTTGGCCCATTATTTTAAAATATTAAAATGTTCCGTCTTCAAATTGCAAAAACAATTGATTTTTGTCTCCTGATTGACATTAGGAGAGATTGAAATTTACTAGGTGAATTTCAATAAAAGCATTGGTATATTTGATAAATGAGGTTTAAGTGCTAGTAAATGATTTAGTAGTGCACCAACCAGGCACTTCTGCCATTTGCATTGACTAAGCACTGAGAGTGAACTTAAAATGAGTTGTCAATATGAAGTGAATCGTTAAAATTTATGTCCACACGAAATCTGCACACAAATGTTTAAAGCAGCTTTACTTACAATTGTCAAAACTCAGAAGCAACCAAGATGTCCTAAGTAGATGAATGGTTAAATAAACTAAGGTACACCCAGAAAATGGAATACTATTCAGCGAACTTTTAATCCATGAAAAGACATGAAGGGAACTTAAATGCATATTACTAAGTGAAAGAAGCCAATCTGAAAAGACTATATTCTGTTTGATTCAAACTATACAGCATTCTGAAAAAGGCAAACTATGGAAACAGTAAAAAGATCAATGGTTGCCAGGGGTTAGGGGTAGGGAGAAGGATGAATAGGTGGAGTATATAGGATTTTTAGGGCAGTGGAAATACTCCGTATGATACCATAATAATGGATGCATGTCACTTTACATTTGTCCAAACACACAGAATGTAAAACACCAAGAGTGAACCCTAATGTAAACTATGGGTTCTGTTGATTATGATGTGTGAGTGTAGGTTCATCAGTTGTAATAAATGTACCATTCTTGTGGGGGATGTTGATACTGGGGGAGACTATGTATGTGGGTGGGCAGGGGATATATGGGAAATATCTGTACCTTCCTATCCATTTGCTGTGAACCTAACACTGCTCTAAAATATAGTCTTAAAAAAACAAAAAAAGTTTAAAAATGAAGTGAACCAGATTTTAGAATCATCTTATGAAATATAAAATGAAGATTTGAAAAATAATTGTACCGTATTAGATTTCTTTCACCAAAAAAAAAAGAAAAATCAAATGAGTGGAAAAAGGGAGTTTTAAAACAAAATTTTTTTTAAAATAATGTTTATTTCAACTTCATCTCATCTCTTAAAAGGGATGTTTTTGTTTTTAAATGGATATTATTAATTTAGCAGTAATTCACATAACAAATATATTGTTATAAGTAAATATCCTTTATAAATAAATATGTGTATATTTATAGTTCATGCCCTAAATTTTTACTTATAGTTGTGAGCCACCAAACTGAAAATTATTATACTAATAAGTTCATACTAAATACATTTGGTTGCTAAACTGCAAGTTAAAATTACCTAAAAAAAAATCCTTATCAATCTATCATCACTTTTGCAAGAGTTTTATAACAGGTAAGTCAAATCCTGATTTGTCATCATTTCAATTTGCCACTCAAAATGTCATAAAAGAGTAGTTACTAAGGAGCCCAGGATCTTTCCATTTTGGAAATATTCAACAAACATTTTTTTTAAATGCCACTTTTTCTAATAGGCAACTGAATTTTAAACATTGAACTTTAAAAGTCACTGGAACATTTGAGATCTCATTTATACTTCTTCAGACTAGGGAATTTTACTTGCTGGTTATCTGAACACATATTCTCTCATTTCTTGCTGTGAAAACATCCAAATAAAATTTTTTAAATGCTTTAGCAACAGCTAGAAAACCTCTGGTTTACTTGGTTTCTCTATGGTTGTTGCATAATGGATTTTTTTGTGACTAGAAAAACTAGTCACAAGCAAAGATGTACATATTGTTAGCCAGTGGGTAGTAAATTACTAATAATGCTCATAAATTTATTTTTCTTTGGTAGAATGGATTTTCCCCCCTCAAGTCATGCTATTTATTTGTGTTTGTGTGTTTGTGTTGTGTATGTAGTCAACACATACAGCACGTTCCTTCGAAAAATAGAAGTTAAATCCATCCCACTTACCAAACTATTCCCTGAGCCCCAGAGCCAATAGGCTTTAGATTCTGGTAGCGCTTGAGAACTGTGAAGGTTGAGTCTCCCACTTCCACGCTGTAGAACTGGTTGTCAACTTTGCTTTTGCTCATGTTGTAATGTTTGGCAATATATGACACATCCACTTGTTTATCGAATCCCTGTGAAAAAGAACAACAAAAACTTGAGACAAGAGAAAAACCAGAATGACAATGAGATACAGAAAAGCCTGTTCTTTCAATGATTACTAATACTTTGTCATCTGTAATAATTATATAGACCTGCATTTAACACAGAAAAAAATATATATATTAGTCCATGTAAGATAACCTGGAGTAAAATATCTTAGAAAAAATGCAAAGAAAAATTTGTTTTCAATATTAAAACTATTTATGATAAAATATTCTTAGATCTGCATCGTCTTTTCTGAAATGTTTCATTAAAACCATTTATTTATGCAGCAAACACCTACTGAACATATACTGGCCCCAGAGACTATGTTAGGTACTTCAGAGGTGATCCCTGATCATCTGTTATAACAGCCATATGAGGAAGAATGAAAGAATGTATCTACATCCTTTTCTCAGAAAGAACTGAGATATAAAATAATGCATAGTTTTAATTAGGCAAATTTGAATTAAATAGTGTTGATTTCATTTGCTCTCAATAATACCAAAAATGCTACTGCATTAAACATTGAAAAATTTTAGTCACTAACACTGTTCTAAACTGCCACATGACAGCTTTTTTATTTATTGCCAGCTTAGATTTTAAGTATCTCAATTGCTATATCTTTTGCTTATCATTAAGAGAAGTTCTATTAATTATATTTAGCAATTGAAGAAATTGCTATTTTGAATCATGATTTAGGAATATATATAATGTAAATATCCATTATCCATGATTATTATTTACCCATAAATGATCTTACATTGCTTTTTATGACATTAAATGGTTTGGATTCTGTAGTGAGAAGGAACCTTACAGAATACTAGCTAGCCTTTTCCTTGTGGCACACACTGGCGGATGTCTACCCAATAGTCACTCGTCTCTTTCTTGCTGATTTTGTTCAGGTTTTGAGCACTCACATGCTCTGTGGGTTCCTTCCCAGTTCCAGCACTTGAAAATTGAATACTCTAAACCAGTAGTTTTCTTTAGAGGTGACACTAACGCTTAGCAGGCATTTGGGAGATCTGTGGGCATGTTTTGGTGTGCCACAATAATAGAAGATGTGGCTTATCGACCAATGCTGGTTGTCCTGCAATGAGTGGGACATTCCCACACAATGAATAATTACATACTTACATCTTTTGAGTATGTCCAAGCTTTAATTAGTAAAAAACAAAACAAAACTGGCTTTAATGTTCTGAGCCCAGAATCTAAACTAAAGATCTTTGTACGGTTTTAATATATACTGACCTCTGAAAATCTAATTCTCACATAATCTGAAAGAAGATTTAAACCTCCTTAGGCTCTGGACCTGTAGTTGGTAATAAAGCCATTTCCTTAGACATTTTTGGCATTTCATTTCTAATTAAAAAATTGAAATAGGAGTACAAACTAATTTGCCCTGTATGCTCTTGGATGAGAGACAGACAGCATTGGTAATGAGGAGAATACAATGGGGACTTTGTGGACAAGGGTGGCAAAACCTACGAATCTAGTACAAGAACCTTAAGACCCCAGATGGGCTTGAGAGCAGAACAGTCGTGACAGGCACCAGCCTATGACTGGGAGACATATGCTAGCAACAATCCAGTACAAATGCACACAGACCTCAAAGAACAGAGTGGACTATAAATTAGTAATCTAGGTTGTTTGGATGGAGACTGAAAATTCAGGAATTCACAAATAAAATCATGAGAGGTCTGAAATCCAGGAGGCAGTCTATGAAGTACAGAATAGGAAATTAAACAACACTATTAAGAATCAGGGCATTGTGAGCCCATTCATGGAGACTAAACAGGGTTTAGAATTTAGACAATGGGTGTGGACAATAGCAGAAACAAGAACATTATAACGATCCTTTATTTCAACTACAGTATCAGGAACTGTTCTCTACACCATAGTCCATTTCTACGCTAGACTTTTTAATGTATGAGTAAACTAACCCTGCTAAAGTTATTTTTTTTCCCTTGGTAAGGAAAGGTAAAAAAGCAACTGGAGCTAGACTAACAAATGAATTTCATCTGTCAAGGTTAATTTGGTACAAAGTGCCCGACTTGCCATTTGTCATGTTCTGACCCTTCACATCCTGTACTACTCTAGCTCCTGACCATCCACAAAACTCTTAGCACACACTAGTCTCATCAAACCTAAGTAATCTATTTCCCTTTCCCCATATATTCTCTTCACCTCTGAAACGTCGCTATTCCAACTGCATTGCATGTATGTAGTAATCATATGTAATAACCTTTATGTTCTAGACTTCTGGCACTGGAGATACAAAAAAAAGATAAGTTCCCCATCTAGATGGAGGCAGTAAAATAAGCAAGTAGTTAAAATATGGAAAATATATTTTATAGCAGAATAAAGAAAAGATGCTAGGAACAAACAGGGAGTAGTAACTAATTGCTTGCATTCATTCATTATCATTAATTCATCCAACTACTATGTATAAAACAACCATGAATGCCAAGTCATGGTATAAAATTGGTAATGTTGGAAAGAGACTTGATTTGTGTTTTCTCTGGCTAACTATATGCCCAGTCCTCCCCTCTAACTGGTTCTCAGATGTGAGTGCGCATTTGGACTACCTGGGGAGCTTGATAAAATACAAATCACTGACATAAAACCTTGGAGATTTGGATTCAGGTCTTCAGCATAGGTCCTGAGGATTTGGAGATTACTAGGCAGTCCAGGTGATTCTGATTTGAGGATCTGACTTTGAGAAAGGCAGCATTAGAAAATCATTCTCACAGTGTGCTCCCTGAAGCATCAGTATCAGCATCACCTGTAGACTTGTTAGAAATGAGGCTGCTCACTCCCACCCCACACCTATTAAATCAGGAACTCTGGGGCCCAACATTCTGTTTTAATAAGGCTTCTAAGTATTCTGATGCATATTGAGAATCACACACTGGAGTGGAAGGACTGCCTGAAGGCTGTGAAACAGATCACACAGCTCTGCCTGAGATATTTGGAAACTAAAACACTTATTATGAAGCAGAAATAATATTTCTGCTTCTGCATCAGGGAACATACACTTGGTGTCTTTACGTATTGCCAAATTCCATTGTTCATGGCAAACACAAACTGGAAACCAGAGTCCTAGTTAGGACAAGGATTACCCTACATCTCAGATTCAAGTATTTGAAAGACACCCGCTGCTCCAGACTCAAGAACTAACGAAGTCGTGGTACTCAGGACAAGTCACCAGCTGGCCAAGTGCTATAATGGAGTATATCATTTCATCACAGCAATTGTTCACACGCCTGAGAAGTACCCTGTAATTTTTCCCAGTGCATACCTTTTCATGTAATGGGGAAGTTATATACAGACTTGGTGGTAGTTTGGTAAAATGGTTAAAACAATCATAGAGATTAGACTAAGAGCAAAATTTTAGCTACAAAAGTATTCCCAGTCAAAAGAAACAAATAAATCTATTCAAATGAAATACCTAATGCCCTGACACATTTTCTAAAATAAAAGCTACTCAGTGATTTTTTTATCCATTTGAAAGCATATAATTTCTCACAATAAGATTAAAAATCATCATTGTAAAATCTGTGAATTCACACACACACACACACACACACACACAATTTCCTTCCTCAATTTCCATGCAGTCTTATCATGACTATAAAGTTCAAATATAAACTTTTCTCTAAAAATAAGTCTATGGGGCGTCCCTGGTGGCGCAGTGGTTGAGACTCCGCCTGCCGATGCAGGGGACACGGGTTCGTGCCCCGGTCCGGGAAGATCCCACATGCCGCGGAGCGTCTGGGCCCGTGAGCCATGGCCGCTGAGTCTGCACGTCCGGAGCCTGTGCTCCGCAACAGGAGAGGCCACAACAGTGAGAGGCCCGCGTATCGCAAAAAAAAAATTTTAAATAAATAAATTTAATAAATAAATAAAAATAAGCCTATGAAAATATGTCATTAAGCACACTATGGAAAAATATTATCAATGCTGAAGAGATTTTTCACCCGTTATATGTTTTAGTATATTCCTATTCAGATCACAGAACTGATGATTTGAACCCAAGACAGGAAGAATCAGAAATTCGTACTGGGAAGGCATGACTGGCCAATAGTTTAAGTCAGGGATTCTGAAGTTTTAATATGGATCAGAACTACCTGAGGAGCTTGTAAAACATAGATTTTTGAGTCCCACTGAAAAGTTTCTGATTCAGTGGGACTAAGATAAGGCCAAGAGTTTGTATTTCTAACAAGTTCCACACTTGGAGAACCACTATTTTAGAGAAGAGTAAGAGATGTCACCATTCAAAAAAGGCTAGTTGGAGTGGCAAAAACTGGAGGAAATGCAGGTCAAACCAAGTAAACAAAGGATGTGGAAGTTAAAAATAATGCCATGATGACTTTCCTTGGTATCAGCACCTCTATAAGCAGGCCCAGCTGTCATTTTCCCGTGTGTTTTCCTATCTCACAATTACAATAGAGTGTCCAGTCAATTTTCTCTCAATTATCTCATGAAAATAAACATTCCATCATCTATTTATATTAAATTTATACTAAAACATTTGAGAAGAATGTATGAAACTCACAGGTATTCATAAATGCTTGTCAAAATGAAAAGTGTTTTTCCAGAGAAAAAATTAAGATGTTTATTAAATTAATTATAAATCAGAAATGTTATATTAAAAATGAAAAACATCACAGTGGTGACTTTTGGAGATCAATATGGCTCAAAATAACTACAGGTTTAGAATAGTCTATTCTACCATTGATTCAAATTAATTTTAAAAGTAACTTATTCCCCCACTGAATATTAATCTTATATTTAAATGACTCAATGATTTATCTTATATTGATATAATAAAATTTTCTTTGAAAAAATTCAAAGCAAACTCATTTCCTCCTTGCCCCCTATCTGCCAAAAAAATTTTAAGCTAAATTCAAAGAAGACTTTATTGCTGCTGGCAGTTTGATAGGAAAAGAGGAAATTTGAATATAATCTGTTCTGTGAAAAGACAGCATAT